TAATAACGTAGCTGAATTCGAAGTACCTTAGTCCGAATTTACCGCGGGTCCAGACGTGGCAGGCAGGCTCCCCCGTCGATGCCGCGTACTCCTCTCGCCGAGCTGGAGTACCAGCGTCGACGGCGAGCACTTCCGGGATCGATCCCAGAAGATCGATTGCCTGCCGCCGAACCAGGAAGTAAGTGTAGACCTACCCAAACACAGATTAACATCAAACTGACCCAAAATTAAATGTTTGTTTGGTTCCACAAACTGAAACGTTTCAGATCAAAACGAGGGTAAAAATATATTTTGAGGCACATCAGAGTTTTCTCACAGGAAATTTAACTGTTGCGAAAATTGCGTTTTCCATTGAAAAAACATTCTGATAGAAAATTCCCAACCAGCACTAGTAAGCAGTATACATAATTCAGCTTCAGCTTCCCACTGTCTCAAAGGAATATGACAGGGTTGTCCTTTCCCACCATTATTTTAGTATTAGCTCTAGAGCCCCTCACTGACATAGCTAGAAAACACACAAATGTTGTAAAAGGGGTAAATCCCAAAGCATTGTATCTACTAATGTTAAATGATTCTATAGAATCACTGTCACCTGCTTTGGTGATGGGGTCCATGTAAGAATTTACGGGGATTAGATAGATCATGGACATTTTAGATCTTTGCACTTGGTCTAGTTATAAAATTAACTGGGTCAAAACGGAAATGTTGACATTCAAGCTTTTGTGAATGGAGAACTTCAAAGCATTTGTTCTACACCTTGCTTGTGGAACTCTTTAAACTCAGATCATTTTATAGGATATATTGAATAAATGTATTGGACTCTCAACACTTTAGGCTGCTCTTCGCGTAGATGAACTATGTCTGTGCAATATTTATGCTATAATTCATTTCTGTGTTGCTACTGGGGGACTGTACCTTTGAAACAGTGGATAACACAGAAAGAGACCATAACTCATTTCACTCAATTTTGTCTTCAAGTAGAATGATAATCACCAGCTGTATTAAAATACACTAAAGGTATTTGAAAAAGAATCCATTAGTTAACAAAATTCACCCATAATGACCATTTCTGTCCTACTTTGAAACAGCATTTGGAAAATAATATTTCACAAGCTAGCAATCTGGTCAACAATCAAGAGGCATATTGCAGATCGGAGATGTATCAAAATGACAATGTAATGACCTCCCCACAGTTGAAGGATATATTTTGTTTCCTGGTTACCACCAAGGAAAGTGTAATTATTTGTGTGTGTAAGCACAGACTCTGGGTGTGTTAATGAGTGTAGTAATGGCTGCAGGTGTGTGTAGCATAGGCTGTGTGCTTGTTAGAGGGTGTAGCACAGGTTGTGTGTAAGTGGAGTGTGCAGTGCAGCCCGGATTGGTTGTTGGCTAGGGTGTAGCACAGATTATGCAATTGGTTGAGCAGTGGAGGAGGGGGTGATGGTGTGTCACAGGCAGAGAACAGATGCTCTTTGGGGTTACAGTCAGTCCCAGGCACAAATGCTACCTAGTTCTGCTGCTGCCCCGCTCTCTGCGGCTCGGGGCCAGGCCCTGCTGGGTTATCTCCCCAGCACAGCTGCACTCCCAGCCCCCACTGTCCCACCCTGGCTGGCTGAGGTCACAATGCCCTGGCTAAGTGCAGGGGCTGCAGGTAGCAGCTGTCTCAGCTGAGCTCGTCCAACTGTGGAGCCCAGCCAGCGGTAGGAGGCACCTGGTGCATTCGGACCTGGGGAGAGCTCTGGGTAAGGGGCCCTGGGCTCTAGTGCTGATGCCCAGCCCAGTGCCTGTCCCGAGTCCAACCCTGCCTGCCGCCCCCTGTAGTGCGGGGCCCACGCCTGCTCCCACTAGGTCACTGGAAGCTTTGCAGGGACTTTAGCGGCAGCAGGAAGCCTTGATACCTCCAGTGCAGGCTGGGTGAATGCGTGCTGCCAGGGGAATCAACAACAAAGCCCCACTCTGCCTTCAGTGCGGGGTGGCTTCCCCCATGGGACGTTGCGCCAAGCAGTGAATGTTTGGTTCCAGCTGGTGCTTTTTATCGGGCCCCTTAGTGGTGACTTGTTATCTGTGGCCCACCTGAATTTCTCTGAGCTTTTTTATGCCCACAGCATAATCAGCACTACACTAGCTAATATTGACTTCCAGAGACCACTAGCCACAGCCTACTAGATGTCGTTAAAAATAAATAACTAAAAGCCGGGTGGTGTTATACTTCAACACCTCCTCAAAGTAGATTTGCCCCCCTAAGTATAATGCCATTTTTACCTGCACCCTAGTGGCGTGTGAATGAAAGTCCCAGACAAGGTATGTTAATTACAGAGAAAAATCCTAAATTAAAAATTGTAAGCTGGGCTAAGACCCTGGGTCCTGCACACAGTTCCTCACATAGATCTCCGATTGATAACTCTTTGAGGCAAGGACTCTCATTTACTGGATGTGTGTACAATACTTAGCACAATGGGGCCCATGTCTAGCCAAGACTCCTAGGCATTACCACAAGGCTACTACTGATAATGACAATGTGTGTCTGCAGGATCAGGCCCTAAAGCTGCAGGCTTTCTAGATGACATATACAGGCTCTCTTAAGTATTATTATAAACTTTTATTTCCATAAATTACTCCTGTAGTTTATCTCATATGAGTTTTTGTACTTTGACATTTTTCATCTAAGGTGCACAAACTGATTTTCATAGAATATGACACATTACAACAAGCTATAACCCACTAACCCTCCTTTGTCCGATCCCCCCAGAGGTGTTAATTGCCCATTTCACTTGAATGGTTTCTTGCAACATGTTAAATCCTTATGCTAAACAATCTGTTCCACCTTGCATTTAGTAGTGACATGCTGACTACCTTTCCCAGGCCTGAGAAAGAGCTCTGTGTTGCTCAAAAGCTTGTCTCTCTCACCAACAGAAATTGGTCCAATACAAGATATTACCTCACCTACCTTGTCTCTCTAATATCCTGGATCAACATGGCTATAACACCACTGGAAATTTAATACAATATCTAATTCAGTTTCACGTTAGGTATAGGGGTCACTACAATGGAACACAGGTGCCGACTCCGTGAGTGCTCCAGGGCTGGAGCAGCCACACAGGTTAAAAATGGTGGGTACTGAGCACCCACTGTTAGCCCCCAATCAGCTCCTCATCCCCCCCAGCACCTCCCATCCACCGGCGGGCTCCCCCTGCCTTCCGCCCATCGCAATCAGCTGTTTCGCGGCATGCAGGAGGCTGGGGGGGGAAGGAGCGAGGATGCAGCGCGCTCAGAGGAGGGGGTGGAACTGGGCGGGAAGAGGTGGGGTGGGAAGAGGTGGTGCGGGGGTGGGAAGGTGCAGGGTGGGGCCTTGGGGAAAGGGGTGGAGTGGTGGCGGGGCCTCGGGCAGTCTCAAGCACCCCCCAGCACTTTGGAATGTCGGCGCCTGTGGCGGAACACAGTCGCTGTTTACTGCCAATGTTGAACATTTCACAGCAGCAGCATACCACACTTAAGGCCCGGAAGAGATGAAGAATATATTGTCCAATAAAAAGAACAAGGGCAATATTTTGATATATTAGAATTTAACCCTCGACTCTTACAGAAACTGCCGAGGGATCTTTTCACCTTTTCTTCCTCAAGGGTTGGGTTGTGTGGCTGTGCCACACCAGAGCTGCACCTCAGAGTTGGACAGAACAGCAGTGACTGCAGTATGCATAATCTATAAAGTACCCCTGGGCTTACAAGAGCTATAAACAAATAAGATCTTACTTACAATGTGAGTGTCAGTGTATTTCCTTTGATTTTAGTAAAGTTACACCAGTCACAAGTAGACCTGTCTGTCTTTATAATGTGTATGCACTGATGTCTATGCAATACATTATGTGCTCATACAGCTCTATGCTCAGGACAGCACTGTTCCAGAACAGGTACTTGTCACTGGTAGGTAAGGGAATTACTCTGGTGGCGGTGGGGTTATATCCCCACTTTTCACTTCAACGTCCATCCTTATTTGTGGCATAAGGTACTATTGAGCATATATAAGGATGGCAGCAACTGGCCTTTATTGAATAACTGCAGGGCTGGTGTTTTCTAGTCTATATCTGACCCCAGAACTCTTATTGCTAAGTAGTTATTCCTAATATGTAGCTGACACTTTAATTTCCTTACCTTGAGGTTGTTACTCTTTTTCTACTAGCTTCTCAGGCGGAAGTTCCTTTCCTTCATTTGTTATTGCCTTAACGGTACTTTTAACATTGTGATCATATCCTTTCCCCTGACTGGATATTGTCTTTTCAAGGCTGTAACATGTTAGTTTCTTCCATCCCCTCCCATTTTAATCACCAATCTTTGTGTCATCTTTATTGCTCTTTTTGTATTTTCTTTTGTTTCGCAATGTTAATTTTACAGACACACTGTTAGAATGTAAGAACGGCCATACTGGCTGAGACCACTGGTCCATCTAGCCCAGTATGCTGTCTTCTGACAGTGGCCAGAGCCAGATGCTTCGGAAGGAATGAACAGAACCGCGCAATTATCGAGTGATCCATCCCTTGTCGTCCAGTCAGTCAGTCAGCGATTTAGGGACATCCAGAGCATGGGGTTGTGATTCTGAACATCTTGGCTAATAGCCATCGATGGATCTATCCTCCATGAACTTAACTAATTCTTTTTTTAATCCAGTTTTACTTTTGTCCTGGCAATGAGTTCCACTGGTTGACTATGCATTGTGTGAAGAAATATTTCTTTGTGTTTGTTTTAAACCTGCTGCCTATTCATTTAATTGTGTGATCTCTGTTTCTTGTGTTATTTGAAGGGGTAAATAACACTTTCCTATTCACTTTCTCTACACCATTCATGATTTTATAGACCTTTATCATATTCCCCCCTCAGTTGTCTTTTTTCTAAACTAAACAATCCCAGTCTTTTTAATCCCCCTCATATGGAAGCTGTTCCATACACCTGATCATTTTTGTTATCCTTCTCTGTACCTTTTCCAATTCTAATATAGCCTTTGGGACATGGGGAGATTAGAAGTGCATGCAGTAGTCAAGGTATGGGTGTACCATGGATTTATATAGTGGCATGATATTGTCTGTGTTATTATCTAACTTTTTCCTAGTGGTTCTGTTATCTTTTTGACTGCCGCTACGCATTGAACAGGTGCTTTGAGAGAACTATCCCTGGTGACGCCGAGATCTCTCCCTTGAGTGGTAACAGCTAATTTAGAACCCATCATTTTATATGTAGAGTAGGGATTATGTTTTCCAATGGGCATTACTTTGCCCCTACAACATTGAATTTAATCTGTCATTATGTTGCTCAGTAGCGCCATTTTGTGGGATCTCTTTGTAACTCTCCACAGTTAACTATTTTGAGTAATTTAGTATCAGCTGCAAACTTTGCCACCTCACTGTTTACCCCCTTTTCCAGATCATTTATAAATATGTTAAACAGGACCGGTCCCAGTACAGATCCTATATTCAGGGCCGGCTCTGGCTTTTTTGCCGCCCCAGGCAAAAAAGCCTCCGGCCGCCCCCCGCCCCGACCAGCGCGGCAGGGGAGGGCGGCCGGAGCCCCGGGGGGAGGGCGGAGTGCCCGTCCGGGGCTCCGCTCTCCCTGGCGGCCAGGGGGAGGGCGCCGGGGGGGAGGGCAGCCGGAGCCCTGGGAGGAGGGCGGAGTGCCCGGCTGGGGCTCCGCTCTCCCCGGTGGCCAGAGCGCCAGGGGGAGGGCGGCGAGCCCTGGCCGGGGCTCTGCTCTCCCCGGCGGCCAGAGTGCCGGGGGGAGGGCGGCGAGCCCTGGCCGGTGCTCCGCTCTTCCCGGCGGCCAGAGCGCCCGGCCGGGGCTCCGCTCTCCCTGGCGGCCAGAGCCGGAGCGCCGCACCGCGCCGCCCTCCCTCCAGGTGCCGCCCCAAGCACAAGCTTGGTGGGCTGGTGCCTGGAGCCGGCCCTGCCTATATTGCAGGTATAATTCCACCTATCCCAAGAGGTATGACTTTTCCCTGGTGTATCGTTTCTTCTGGCACATCATTGCAGTTTGTTGGTCCAATTTCTTCAGGTTATTTTATACTCTGGAATTTGATCATGGTGGAGATGTCACTGTCATCTAGGTTTTCATTAAGAAAACTAGTGGAGGCACGGTGATCACCTTTAAAACCTTGCTGATTTTGGCTTATATAAATAGAGATAGTTCCCTCAGTGCAATATTTGAGCTATACTTGTAGGAAATACTTGAAATACTGCAAATACAGAAGTTAATATTAACTTAGGCATGATCTAAAGCCTAAATATAATTTAGCTAAGGCATTTTCTCAAACAGCAGGCTAGGGCATAAGAGGGCCTATGTACGTACTTCAGTAGTGTAAAAATAATGTATGCATATCTGGCTAGTATTTTCCTTGGTGATGACATCAATACATCCTATGTACCTTAATGTTCCTTTCCTGGTATCTTAATATAACTGCACAAAAAGCCTCATGATTTAGTTATATCTTTTTAAAAATTCTATTGCATGACATTGCTTAGTAGAAAAAGTGAATATTAAAAAAGAAGTATAGTATATTCTGTTCTTGATTACATTTGAGGAATATTATTGAGTTCAGATGGCTGCAGTGAAATTACTCTGAGTTTACACCAATGTAATAATTTGGCCCATTAGCTGAGTTTTAAGATTGACTAATATTTATTCTTAGTAATATAACAGATATGTCATGAACTGGCTTAACTGATATTAGGATATAAGTTCACGTATAAATGTACATTTTCTTTCAAACAGGTACAGAGAGAGCATGAAACCAAATCAAAAACCCGTGGAAGCGTGCAATCGTCTGATACCTGGATACACAGGTAAATAATGTGTTTGGGCCACATCCTGACCTCCTTTCTCAGCTTGAAACCCAACTTAACTAGCCAGTGGAGGATTCCCCTGCATCATGGAAAATCCTCTGTTCACAAAGAGCTGCAATAGCAGCTACCGTACCATGATCCTCTGCTCTATTTTACCATGCCAAAGCCTGGCAGCCGTGGGGTTGATGGAATGTAAACATGCCTTAAAATCACCCCCTCCCTAGACTTTCAACATGCACAGCTCAGCTGATCTGGAGAATTTGGGCCAGAATAGTAGCTTTGCATTTGAATTTACTTTCTTGGATTAGTTCACATAAGAGCTGGACCTGATCCACAACGTTTGGATCCAGAACGAAACCACCCCAATGTTCAGAGATAGTTCAGAACCAGGATTTTGGCTCAGTACAAAGTTCAGACTGACAAAATTCAGAGACAGTTGGAAGTGGGATTTTCGTTCAGACCCATCCGATTTAAATCAGATTCTTATCTCTATTTCTTTAGCATTTAACATAGTCATAGTAGATTCAGGTTCAATGTTAAAGGAATATGTACTTGTGCTATATGCATCTATTCTTTATAATGAAAATTATTATATGGTGAAAGTCTGCTTTGGGGGTTGGTCCCACACAAAAGACCTACATCTATTTCTTATAATTCAGGAGTTCATTTTAATACAATCACAATTTCCAACCAAAATGAATGATCTGAAATTGCATTTTCAAAGCATCCAAAAAAAAAAAGGCATTTCAAACTACCCTTCAGACTGATGTTTTGGTACAGTAAAGAGAATTGCTGTTAGCAGATTGATCTGTCATAAGGGGATTGTACTTTCATAGCCCTTGTCAAAATGTGGCTTGTTTCTAAGGTCATAGGAGATCACTGTAGTTGTAACCGTCTATGTAATTGCAGTGTGCATGTGTAATTTGAAGAACTAAGAGTGGCAGATAATGTTCTATGTTTGTTTGATAATTTCACTCTGTCTGTAAATGCTTGCAATATGTTCCATTAGATCTTGTGAGCTTTTAACATTTATCCTGCTTACTCTTTTAGGCTATGTCCCCCAAAGATTCTATAGAATTGGCACTACTTATGGAGATGATTCAATGGCATGTATGACCTCATTCCACAATGCTACTCAAAGGAGCAGAGACGCACAGAATGAGCTGAGATACATAGCAGCCACTACACCCAAACTTCCATCTATTTGCTCCAATGAAGATGTTTTACAAGCACTTTATGACTATAATTATAAACACCATCCTTATGTGCTAGGTACTGTATTTAAGTTGTAATGAACTTGATTTCAGCCAAACATTCAATTAATGTTACTAGTACAATGTGAATTATAATTACAGTCTTCAGGGACATAGTAAGAACCGATTTTTACCTTCAGTCGCTAGCACATTGCTCTGGTTTCTGTGGGAGTTACACACACGTGCATTCAGTGACAGAATTTGGCCCCTATATCTTTCATTTCTATTCTAAATCTCAAGGTTTTCTCAAATAGGTGTGTATATTTAAGGACAGAGTCTCATCTTGATATGAAATATTTTACATAGATCTTGCATCAATTGTAATTGTTATCCAGAAATCCTTCCATAAATGGGGTTCTGAATAGACTCATGCAATAGCATGCTCTCAAATTGTACTATTATCTAAAAATCTGAAGCCAATATTTTCAAATCTGGCTGCCTAAACCTAGAGTAAAAGCAACCTGCTGTTCTGAGGGGCTAAGCACTTGCTGCCCAGACTGACCACAGTAGGAACTACAAATGGCCACCATCCCTGAAAATCTGTAATCTTATCTGGGTATCTAATTTTAGGCACTCACATTTGAAAATTTTGTCCTGCCTTTCTGGGGCTTGATTCTGCCACCTTTACTCATGCTGATGGCTACCTTACTCTGCAAGTACTCTCATTCTTTCAGTGGTACTGTTTGCAGAGTAAAGTGCTACTGAGTGTGAGTCAGGCTGGCAGAATCTGGCCTTTAGTGTTTTCTTTATTAAAAAGAAAGAAAGAGAGAGAGAGAACTCTTAAAATAGTCTTGGAGAAAAGCAAAACATTTTCATTTGATCTTGTGACTCATGTGGATCTCAGGATGTCTCATGTATCCTGGTTTTCCCTTCAGCAATAGCTTCTTTCCAAATCTTTCCTCGGGCTCCTCACTCTGGGTAAGTGAGCCCTTTTTGTGGTTCTCCATGATTCATAGACTGTGAGTAACCATGAACGCCAAACACCAAGGCCCAAACATGACTCCAAGTGTTTTGACCCAAACTGAGCTCAACCCCAATTGCCCGTCATGGATTCCTAACTACCCGCTGCGGCAAGCTAGCATTTCTCATCTGATCAGAAGCGTTCCAGGATCAGGACCACCCTGTAAAAGATGTTCAGAACTTCCTCCTGCAGTTACCTTAGAAACCCCAATGTCATCAGATAGAATGTTCCTGAGTGACAATTCTTAAGTCTGTAACTAGTGCCTTTCTTCCTACATAACTTAACGCACCACTGAATAACAGCCAGCTCTGTCTGAACGTGGCAATGCACAACAAGACAACATTGCAGTTTAGAATAGAACGCTCAACTGTGTCCTGTTGAAACTGCAAGGCATCTTTCAGCAGGTAGAATGTAATTTCCTGTGTTGGAATTTTGACAGGCCATGGGTACTAACATATATTTATATGCGTGAGCCTATTCCCTACTTAGGCACTGACACAAAACCCATTACGTTCAATGGAAAGACTCTTACTGGCTTCAGTGGGCTTTGGATCAGGCCTTTAATGACCATTGGCCAAATTCTAAAGACCTTTCCTAGCCTGAGGAAGGACTGATTCAAAAGTGAGGAAGGACTTCAGGATCTGGCCCCATAAAAGAGAAAAAGTTATCTAGGCACCACTAAGGGGCATATCAAAAGTGGTGAGACCCACTCTTGGTGATATAAAGTGACTAATGAACATTCTATGAAGCATGTCAATTAACTGAGAACATTTGTTATAAGGAAGGAACCTTTTTATCCTCTATGGTAAATATAAGCAGATATTTTCTTGGGCAGTTAGGTGTAAATTTGAGGTGGCATTTATTTGGTCATTTTGCAGGTACTGTAATAACTAAGAGAAGTTTACTAGAGCCCCCTATTCCTGGTTGGACTGGGTTTGTGCCTAGAGCAAGGGTCACTGAACTGGGATACGGTGTTCGTTACCATGAAATGACAAAAAATTGCTATCAGGATTTTAAGAACTTAAGAGATCGGGTCTGCTACGATCCCACCAGCAATTTACACAGGTAATTTTATACGAAAATATATCGATTGAAAAGTACGATATAAGATGGTGATGATGATGATGTTTAATTGGATGGTAGAGCAGTAAATAAATATAACCTCGCCAACCATTAAAGCAATTAAAGGGAGTAGGACAGATAATAGGTTTACATAGACTTTAGGGGCTCTCCTGGGGCATGTCAGGAAGCTATGTAGTACAGCATTTGTAATATAAAGCATACTTTTTTTTGAAAAGACTGCACTATACTGTGTATTTTTCATAATTGTATTTTAAAAGCTTCCTTATCTACAGGAGGTACTGAACATAGACAGCACACAAGAACTCTTGTACACAGAAGCATGTTGTTATATTTTGGTTATGCTGATCTTCAGACCTTTTCTGTTCACCACTTGAACCACAAACATTTAAAAAAAAACTCATTGTATGAAGCCCTGATGGTAATCCTTTTTTCAAGTATTTCTAGTACATCCTGCTGCATGGTGGATCTAAGGCCTCGGCTACAATAATCTCAGGTACTGGTGTAGCTTAACTGGTACAAACATCTAGTGGATTTTCACCAGAGCATCATTATTTGCCCCCGTGAGGCATATACCAGTAGCTGAAAGGTCAGTGTAGAAAAGATCTACATTCTGCAGCCTAAGTAGGACTGAAAATTCAGTGTTGATAGGAGGAAAAGCTCTTGGGAACCTCACTTTTTAATCCAGAAAAGCACATCAAGTGACTGCTTATTTCAGTATTTCATTTAATAGAAAAGCTCTGATTCTTTTTCTGCTTATCTGACATTTGCATTGTGAACGAAATTTCAGTTTGCCTCAGAATTTAGTGTTGACAAAGCCTTAGCAGCTGTCAGCAAGAGGCAATGATGGGTTGGGAGCGGGAAGACAAGTGAGTCTGGGCTTTTGTCCTTGGAAGGACAGGAGAGTTGGTCTGTACCACTATAAGCAGAATGGGCAGGCCTCTTACTATCTAGGAAAGGATTTGGCAGTGGAGCAGGGGGAAGAGTGTGGCTGTGAAGACTTGGGAGTTTGAATTGCCATAGAGGGGTGATCAAAGCATTGGAAACAGGGCTCTCCCTTCCCAAACTTGGCGAGAGGGAGTATTTCCCTTCTTCCCTCCTCCCACTGAGTGATAGATGCTGCACCTCTGCAGGCAACTTCCTTCTGCCTCCTGCTGATAAGGAAACACACTGGCCTCAGCACATCCATTTTCCTTCCAGTACAGTGCACAAGCCTAATTATGAGTTGTTTTTTCCTAACACACACACACACACACACACACACACACACACACACACAC